GGAAGGGCCACATAACAGGAAAGATAAGGTCTCTTTTGCTGCCTGCTTATCCGCTGCTGTTGAGGGATAGACAGTGGGAAAACTCTAAGTGGGCTTCTTTTGTTCTGGAAATTCTGGTAAAGGAGGCTGACAGTAGCGTGCAAAGGAGAAGGTGACTCACAGTTAGAAATGCAAATCTATAATCACTGCACTGGTAGTGACTGGCATGCGCATCCTTGGTGATAATTTAATAAGCTTTTTATTCCTGTAGGAAAAAGTGACATCTCATTTATGTGTGTAACAGGCATTTCCATCAGCAACAGGAAGGATTGCTCACGGGAGATGCTTTTTGTTTGTTTTCCTGCAGTTTATACCCCATCCTTAGAGTCTTCATTTTAACCCATTAATTGCTTCTACTTCTAGGGATGTATTAAAATAGTTAATGGCTTGCATGAAACCTGCACTGCCAGCTTTTGGGTGGGGCCCTGGAGGTGCCCCGCTGTGTCAAGTGGTAGCTTTGGATGCTGGAGAACACTTGAAATGGTGTTTGTGCTTTGGAGGATCCAAGGACGGCCAATTTTTTTTTTTTTTTTTTTTTTGTACTAGGGATTGAACCAAGGGCTTTCACACCAAGCCACATCCATAGCTCTTTTTTATTTTGAGAAAGGGTCTAAGTTGCTGAACTTCTCAGGTTTGAAATCTTCCTGCCTCAGCCTCCCATTGTGCTGGAATTATAGGCATATGCCATGGTGCAGGGCTGGAATGGCCACCTTTTAACAACTAACATGCAGAAGTATTTTCAGAATTTTCACAGTTAATGTGGGGGTTGTGTAGGTACTCACTATATATTTACCCTAAAATTTTCTGTTCCAGAGGATCTGGGTTACTTTTCATGAGACATTTTAAAGCACTATCAACCGGGTGTGGTGGCGCACACCTGTAAACCCAGCACTTGGGAGGCTGAGGCAGGAGGATTGTGGTGAGTTGGAGCCCAGCCTGGGTTGCATAGGAGATCTTGTCTTAAAAAAGCCCCCGGGAACATCAATATATCAATTGGGGTAACTTATGATGCTACTAAACTGTTTATAATTCATGAAATGGGTTGAGGACATGTGTCATTTTGCTTGGACAACACTGACAGGGAATAACACTGTATGATCATCCTTATATTTACACTCAGAAAGGTTTCATTCATTCAGCCAAGACCTTTGAGTATCCACTGTCTTGTTTCAGTGGAAGGTATGCAGCAGGGAACAAAACAGGCACAGTAAGTCTTTGCTTCCATGGAGTCTGTATTCTGGTACCTGGGAAAGAAATCACAAGTCGAGAAAGCATGCGGGGGGTGGTGTAAGTACCATGAAGAAAAGCCGGAGCGGAGCAAGGGACATACAGGAGTGCGGCCGACGGAGTGGGCAGCCGATTTCCGTAGCATGCTCAGAGGAGGCCCCATTGCGAAGGAGGTGTCCGCGTTGACTTCTGGACGAGGACAGCCACGTGTGTGCCTGGCGTGAGAAAGCTCCCATCAGGGCAACACATGAGGGGAGCGAGGCTGAGTGCGCTCCGTGTGCACAGGAGGCTCACGATGGCTGGCACCGGGGGAGATGGAGGAAGGGTAAGGAAATGAAATGAGAGAAGGAAGAGAGGGATCTGAGGTCAAGCCTATAGCCACCCGCCTCCCCGCCCGGTACCGGGGATCGAACTCGGAACCTTGCGCTTGCGATGCAGGCGGCCGAACCACTGAGCTAAATCCCTGGCCCGCCTACAGCCATCTTTAAGAATTTGTGGAGTATATAAGTCATTAGGTTTTTCTGAGGAGGTCACTGGAATTTTTAAGAAGAGGAATGATGCTTGTTTAAGACCATTCAGCTAGGTAGAAAATATACGGAGGTGAAGTCAGGGGTGAAAGAGCTACTGTAATCATCCAGCCCAAAGAGGGTGGCATCCTGGACCAGTGTGGTGACAGTGGGGGTGGTGTATTTTGAAGATAGAGCCAACAGGATCTGCTAATGGCTTGGAGGTGTGGACTGAGAGAAAGAGAAGAGAGGAGAGTGCTGCCAGCCACAGAGAAAACCAATGGAGCACATCCTGCGTTCCTGAGAAAGACCACTCTCCCCTCTGTAGCTCCTCATCAGTTTGCATTGAGCTGATTTCATGTTTGCCTCCTTCCCATGCTCTGAGGTCCTCAAGGGTATGATGTGAATTGTTTTTTTTGGGGGGGTGGGTACCAGGGATCAAACTTGGGATCTTGTGCTTGCGAAGCAGGCAGCATCAATAAAGGTGTCTTAAAAAAACTGTCTGTAGTGGGTGATGGAAGTTTTGTATCCAAAGGATTTAGCTCAGTGGTTGAACCGCCTGCCTCACAAGTGCAAGGACCCGAGTTCGATCCCTGGTACCAAAAAAAACAAAACACAAAAAAAAACCCAAAAACCAAAAACCAAAAAACAAAACAAAACAACACGCACACAAAAAAAACAAAGTATGGTAGTTTCTTGAATCTATACAGATACTAAAATTCAGAGAACTGTTTACAAAGAAGTCGATTTCCCCATATGGTATACTTTTTTCAATACTGGAGTCAAACCCAGGGCTTTGTGCTTGCTAAGCAAGCCCTATACCACTGAGGCATATCCCCAGGTGTATGTATGAGAGATTTAAAAATAAAATCATTCTAAAACTGTACCCAACAGCACACAGAAGTTAATCTGTGAGAGTGCCAACGTCAGAATCACAAGTGGAAAGCACTTTTGTCACAACAGTCATCACCTACAAGCAACTTCTTTGTGCCAGGCTCTGTGCTAGAGCTGGTGTAGGTCCTGTGCTCCTCTGCCACCAGGTGGGCAGCAGAACCACTCTCTCCATTTCACAAGGTCCCGAGTTCGAGCCCTGCTCTCACACACAGGTGTCTGGGTGATTTTCAGTTCTCATCATAAATACCTGACAGCTGTTAGGTCATATGGTAACTCTGTTTAACATTTTGAGGAACTGACAAAGTATTTTTCAAACTGGCTATTCCATTTTAAATTTCAGTCTGTCATACAGGAGGGTTCTAACCTCTCCATGTCCTCCTAATCAGTACTTGTTATTATCTCTTTTTATTACTACTGAGTGTCTGTTTTGATTTATATTTCCCTGAAGACTAATGATATTGAGCATGTTTTCATGTACTTATTGGCATTTTTTTAAACTTCTTTGGAGAAGTGTCTAAGTCTATTGTTATTTAGTGACTGGGTTATATTATTATTGTTATTATTATTATTATTATTATTCTGAGTGCTGGGATTACAGGCATGCATCATCATGTCTGGTGTGGGTTGTGTAATTGTTCTTTATAAATTGTAAATATAAATACCTTACTAGATCTATGATTTGCAAATACTTTTTCCCATACCATAGGTTGTCTTTTCACTTTCTTGATACTACTCTTTGAAGTTCAGAAGTTCTAATTTTAATCTTGCCTGATTTATTTCTTATTTAGTTGCTTGTGCTTTTGGTGCTGTATTTGAGGAACAGTTGCCTAATCCTTGGTCACAAAGATTTAGTCTCATATGTTTTCTTAGAGTTTTATAGTTTTAGCTCTTACATTTGGATGTGTGATGCCTTTTGAATTAATATTTATATGTGGCTTGAGTAGGCATTCAGATTCATTCTATTATATGTAGATATCCTGTTGTCCAGCACCATTTTCTGAACAGACTGTTCTTTCTCAATTGGATTGTCTTGACACCCTTGTCAGAAATCAACTGACTGTAAATGTTAAGGTTTATTTGTGGATTCTCAAATCTGTTCCATTTATCTGTATTTCTATTATATAGCAATGCCAACTGTTCTCATTATTGTACTTTGTGTAAGTTTTGAAATTAAGAAGTGTAAGTGCTACAATTTTGTTCTATTGTTCAAGATCATTTTGGGTATTATGGGCTCCTTTCATTCTCATATTTTAGGATTTTAAGACTAGTTTGCCAATTTCTGCACAAAAAGCAACTGGAATTTTGATCAAGCTTCTGTAGATTAGTTTGGGAAGTATTACCATTTTAACAATACTGAGTCCTCTAATATAGGAACATGATATATTGTCTATTTTTTGTCTTTTTAAGTTCTTTCAAAATATCATATAGTTTTTAGTGTATGTCTTGCACTTCTTTTGTTACATTTTTTTTCCTAAGTATTTTATTCTTTTGGATGTTATAGAATAGAATTGTTTCCTTCATTTCATTCTCAGATTGTTTATTTCTCGCGTGCAGATGCACAGCTGATTTTTACATAGTGAGCTTGTGTCCTGTTCTACAGGAAGTCTAACTTCCCTCCGGTGCAGAAGAGACTTTGAAAGTGTTTGCAGTAGGGCCAGGAGAGGCTTCCATTGCACGTTTTCTGTGCACACAGATCAGTGACAGTGCTGCCACTTACGAGCGCCTACAATGTTATTTCATGTACTCAAAGCTTCCTATGGCTCTAAGGACAAAAAAAGAGACTGGAGTTCTTACCTTGACCTTGAAGGCTCTGAATGGCTGGGACTTTGTCCGCTGTGTGGCCTCATCCCCCACTCTTCTTCCCCGGCCAGGTGTCCTCCAGCCTCCTCTGTTTCAACCTCCTCTCAATCACTGTGCTTCTTCCTGCCTTAGAGTCTTTGCTTATATTGTGTCCCTTACTTGGTCACAACCCTGCAACTAGTAGTGGAAAAGGGAATTTTCTTCCTGGCAGACAAAAAAATGTGTTTCCCAGTGTTTGTAAATTTCTGTCTCCCCTGCTAATAGTGTCTGTCTTTCGCCTCTGTGTCATAAGCACCTCAAACAGTGCTGGGCCCATCGCCGGAGCCAAGTACAGGGAGCAGCTGACCTGTGTGTCAGGCCCTTGTTGCTGAGACACACTTTACACATGAGGAAACCAAAGCTTAGCTAGGTAAACCGGCCTGAGTTCACGTAGCTGGTACATGGCAGAGTCATGGTTCTCTGGAGATCTGTTGGTTTTGGGGTTTGGAATAACCCTCCAGCAGAGAGGTGCTCATATCTTGACTTCTTTTCCAGTGGAGGCTTTTCAGAAACTGCAGAAGGCAAAGGAGACTCTGACCAATGAGGAGAGCCGCGCCCGCTATGACCACTGGCGAAGGAGCCAGATATCGGTGCCGTTCCTGCAGTGGGAAGCTCTGACTGACTCGGTGAAGACGGTGCGTGTCCCCGGGGGAGGATGTGAGTGGCTGAGGCTCAGGCTGCCCATGGATCAGACTCATGGGTGGAAGACCCACCTGGAAATCGGATGGAGAAGACCGAGAAGTTGGTAGAGTCTGGGTAGGACTCAGGGTTCACAAAATCGTGGGAGAGGAAACTCAGAGTAGAGGTGATGACGACTCAGTGCCAGAAAATCCTGTGACTGCTTTTTGGTCTGTTTACATTTTGGTTTCAGTAGCTACACTCCGTATTACCATTTACACCTCATTGTATTTATTGAGTTAGTTTTTGTTTTTTTGAGACAGGGTCTTGCTGTGCAGTTCAGACTAGCCTTGAACTCATTATGTAGCCCAGGCTGGCCTTGAACTTACCGTCATTCTTCTGCCTCAGCCTTCTGAGTGTTGGGATTATAACTGGGTGCCGCTATGCCTGGCTTCTATCTTTTCCTTGTTCATATCAGTTTGTTCTTTTATCAGGACTTCTAAATCCACTAAAAAAAACAGTCGAATCAGTTGAAGAAAGATGTAAATTTTTGTATTGTGCATCCCGGTGAAAAAATTGTTGGGCTTTTAAAAACATTATTCATGTCATTAAAAAACTACACATCAAGGGCTGGGATTTAGCTCAGTGGTGCCAACCCTGCCTCTCAAGCACAAGGTCTTGAGTTCATCCCTGGTACCAAACAAAACAAAACAAAAACAAAAACAAACCAAAAAAACCTACATATCAAAATAATCATTACGGCCAGGGCCAGTCTGAACTACATAGTGGGACCTTGACTTAAAACAAAAACAAAACATTATAAGGGCTATGGGTGAGCAGGGCACGATGGCATAACACCATGATCCCAGTACTTTGGTAGGCCAAGGCAGGAGAATCACAATTTTGAGCCAAGCCTAAGTGACTCAGTGACTTATCAAGATTCTATCTCAAAATAAAAAAAGGGCAGGGTATATAGCTCAGTGTAAAGGCCTTGGATTCAATAGCCAGTACTGGAAAAAAATAAAAATAAAAAGGTCTGTTGGCTCAGTGGTAGAGCACATGCTAAGCAAATTCCTTGGCCCAATCCTCAGCACCCCAATAAACAAATAAATCACTATAATTACTTTTTTAAAAATCAATTTTTATATATTATAATGAAATATAATTATAAGGGGTTCTATTATCTTAGGCATTATGTATTACCCAGATTCTTTCCATTAGAACATTGTTTTGTGACCTAAGAATCCCACCTTCCTTCCAGGCAAGTTTTCAGGGAAACTTAGAATTAGTCTATAAAGTGACTCATATCCTTATCTTTCCGTGTACATTTAGATTTCCTTCTTCACAATTTTTATTTTAAAAAGACTTGTAGAGGTTGTTTGTGAAAGACCTATAATATTGAGGGATGATCTTTAAAATAATAAGACCACTACAAAACTCTCAAAGTTATGTTTAAAGCCACTCATCGTAAAATGCAACCTGGTTTCTTCATTTTTATCCCCCCTTTGGCCCCTGGGATCAAACTCCGGACCTTACACTTGCAAAGCAGGCGGTGGAACCACTGAGTTAAATCCCTGGCCCTTTTCATCTCATTGAAGTGTGTACTTCATATGGATTTGTTTAGGGTGGGCTAGTTGTTTGTGAGGTACTGAGTGTACTGTTATGGCTGAGATCCCTAATGTCCTCCAAAGCCTCACGTGTTTGGAAGGTGATGGCATCACGGTGCTGTACTCTTCAGCGTCTCCACCCATGGGTGGGCTTACTAGCTAAATGTGCTGTTCGGTGGGTCACTTGAAGCGTGGCCTGGAAGGGTGTGTTCCTGTACCTGGCTCCTCTCCGCTCTCTCCGCTTCCTGGCTGCCGTCCTCCGCCAGGCCCTTCCACCAGGCCATTTCCGCCTTGGAGCCAACCAGCCGTGGACTGAAACTGTGCGCCAAAATAAGCCTCTCCTTTAAATCGCAGATCTTAGATATTTTGTCCTACTGATGGGAAAGTGACTGAGGCACAGGTGATTACTGAATATATGCATCAAGTGACTACGGGGGCTTTTTCCAAAAAATATTGACCTGACTTCATGTATTCAGAAATACGTCTCTTTTCTTTTTCACCATATACATCCATGATTCTCTTGTTGGCGCTAGCTAAATAAACACTGTCCCACCAGCTCTGCATAACCATATTTCTAGTCCCCTCAGTATGACACAGTGTAAGTGCAACTGAATTAGCGACCCTTGCCTTCTGATTTATAGCCCATTTTTTTTTGTTGATACGCTCAACTCTGTCACTTAATTTTTGACAGCTAATATCAAGTTAACTGTGTATATATATAAAAAAAACTTCTCCAAATCCCTGCTTTAATTTGAATTGCCAGTGTCTTTCCTTTTAATACTAATTTCCTGTCTCCAAACACATCATTTCTGCTTCAGTTTAGCTTAGCTATGCCTGTTGGAGATCTTACCAATAATTACATTTAGATCTTACTGGCTTCATCATCTGCGTTGTCAGCAAAGTTGAAGTAATATGCTGGGCTAGCATTTTGCCTCAGATTTATTTTTATTAGTGGTACAAAAATGATGAGATGCATATCTCTCTCCGCTTTAACATCAGCGGTGATTTTTTTCCTCACCCAGGCTTCTTTGTGGCTTCCGAGTGTCTGTTTCTGATTTCGTTTGTTTTTCTTCCTCAGTAGACTTTGAATTCCTCATTCTGTTTCACTGGATCTGTCTTAGCCACTTTCCTCATCCCTGAGGCACAAGACCTGACCCAAACTTGAAGAAGAGGTGTGTTTGGGCTCATGGTACAGCCCACGGTCCGCTGGCACCAAGGCAGGTTGGCGAGGCAGAGGAGCGTGGTGTCGAGAAAGCTGCTCCCGTGATGGCAGTGAGGAATCAGAGGGCCAAAGGGAAGAGCCAGAGTGAGATAGGCCCTTCCAGCTCAGGTCCTCAGGGACTCCCCTTCTGACCAGCCCCACCTCCCAGCAGCAAGCCAGCTATAGAGCCCCGGTAAACCAATCGTCTTCCACAAACTGTCACCTCTGAGTGCAAGAGACTTTGGGGTGCATCCAGGCATAAACATTAACAGAATCTGTATAGCATTCAGTAGACTTTCTGCTCTTTCCTTTCTTTTCTAGTCCTAAAAGTGATTCTTCTGCTTCAGCCTCCTGAGTGCTCATACTGCAGGGGCTGGCCATCATACCTGAGCTTCTGTGTAACATTTAAATTGCTGTTTTCTCATTGTGTGTATTTTATTTGTTTATTCTTTTACATTCATACTTTGGTGGAATCAGTAAGAATTATCCTACCTACTGTTGTTCATCACTGAATAAAGCGCTATCTTTTTGTAGGTAAACATCACCTTTGGTTTTGGATTAGTTATAGTACAGATGCCATTCTGACAGCAAACTGGTTGTAAGTTTAGGATTTGAATTTCTGATGACATTTGTCTAAAACATACCTGCATGTTCATTTGCCTGGCACATTTATAATTTTTAAATTTCATCAAATTTCTTCCCTTCACATCATTAATCTTGTGCTTCTGTTTATTATTTAAGCAGTATAACCCCCCTGGAAGCAAACATTGGTTGGGGGCACACAAATCCCAACTTACCGGCAGGACAAGTCACAGGGCACCCTTGCAGCTCTGCCCATGGGCCCTTGTCTCAGCGCTCTCCTTGGGGAGAATTCTTCCATTGAGCCACTGCTTTAGGGTGACACAAGCAACCCCTTCCCAATAAGTCCCTGATACTTCACTAGCTATTTATTTCTCTCTTTCTAAAAGTTGCTTCTGAAAGTTTGTTTGTAAGACATTATAAGAATTCACCCAGGTCAGTGAACATACCAGAAATGTACATTTAGACAAGTGTTGGTTGAAAACAAGAATGTGGGATGAAGATTTCAGTAATCCAGGCCTTTGGAATCCTGGGAGACCTTGAAAACAGAGACCTTTCTAACTCCAAGAATGTAGGGAAATTAGTCTTTGCTATCCTGGGTATGGATGACTCTCCCTCTGGCTCCAAAAATATGGCAGAATGGCATTAGGAGGGCTGCTGGGATATAGTTACAACAAAGCCACTGTCAAAACGAAGCTTAAGACAAATCTTATAAGCTGATAAAAATGATTGATGTCACATCTATTGCTATAAATATTACAAAGAGCCAGTAGAAACGCATTCTTGGCGAACTATTTGACAAATTGATTGTGGTATGGCTTTGGGGGGCTTCCTATCACTCTGTGTAGACTTATTTGTCTACTAATTGTGTGTGTGGGTTTCTGCTTGGTGAGCTGTGTTTGGGATGAGTCCAGTTGGCCAGACACTGGCAAGGAAGCTTCCTACTATGCCCACCTGGCTAGTTTCTCCAGCCAGATGGGAAACAGTGTGCAATTCAGCACCTTCTGGGCCTTTTCTAAAGGCAATCTGTCTTAATCGGATATTTTCCAAAAGCAGGCCAGAAATCTCTCAGGTAAACAAAATCAAACCAAACAAAAAACAGAAAAAACAAAAAACAAAAAAACCAAACAGCTTCTCTCATGGAGATCCAGGGTGAAAGTAACTGGAGAATTTTATATAGTTATTCAGCTGAGCTACGGCACACCTGAGTCACCGGCTTTTTTTTTTACCCCTGTTTGTTTCAAAGTTTAATGGTTTATAGATAAAAACAAAATTATTTCCCAGTGTTGACCAAGGTGTGAATGTTAGAGAGTGACTTCTGAGTGAAGGGGGAGGGGGAGAGGTAGAGGCTCATTAAGGAAAGCTGGTAAACAAGTTAATTAAGAAGGTGAAAAAAGATATCACAGACTTTAGGAGTAGTGGCCTTTACACCCGAGCTTGGTTTCTGCAGTGCATTAGATCACTTCATGCACAAACTGACTTTCTGCCTTGTCCCATTCATTCTTTTGCTGTACAGACTCAGTTTCTTAGTCTCCTTTTTAGTCAGTGTTTGATATTTTTACTGACACTCATTGTATTGAAATGAATCACTCCACCACTGACGAATTCGTTCGATGTTAAATGTTGCTCTGTGCATCCAGTCCACTCGTGGAGCTGAGTGCACTCTGCGAACACAGAAGTGAGTGATTTGCAGGCTGACGCACCAGGCTGCTCAGCGTTGCTCTTGCATTCAACCTCTGCAAGGCATGAGGAGCACCTGCATATGAGGTTAGATACAGTTTGGATTTTTCTTCTGCCTATTTATGTAATTGGGATCAGCAAATACAGAAGTCTGATGATAAAAATAAATTTTTTTTTTGGTACTGGGGATCAAACTCAGGACCTTGTGCTTTCGAGGCAGGCACAGTGCCAGTGAACTAAATCACTGGCCCAAATATTTTATACTGATTTACTCTCAAAGAGGATAGATGAGTAACTGTTTTTTCACTGGGGGCTTTCAAACCATTTATCGTGAGTCATCAATCCTTACTGCTTGTCTGAGGCAGACCATAGCACTTTGATTTCAGGATTAAAATATTACTTGGCCAACTTGTGATGCTTACAGTTCACATTTTCAACTCTCTGGGCCCTAAATTATTGAAATTTTTACTCTCTATTTTTCATTAACCTTCCTAATATCCCTCCCCCACTGCAAAGGAAGCCACCTGCAAGCCTTTTCTATTCTGTGCATATGCAGAAAACCACCCAAAGCACAACAGCAAGCCCATCCAAACAAAAGCCAGATTATTTTTTTACATTGGTTGATACCATTGCCTCTTTTAAAAATGAACATTTTTATTTAGAAATAGACCTAAAGAGACATGCACAACACCTGCATTTACAGTTTAGCAAATGGCTGTGAAGTGTTTACTTTGTAACCACCCTAGCACGTATTGTTAGCACTCAGAAGGTCAGTTCTTATATATTTTTGCAGTCACAACCTTATCTGATTTTTAAAAGGTATTTTTCTCTCGTTATATTCATATACGCATAAATAATCTCAGTTGAAGGGAGGGGAGGGGAATGGGGAAAATCAAGATATATACAGGTATAAATGATGATGTGATCAGTACAGATGGCAAATATGTACTAATAAAAATATAAAGTTATAAAATAAATAATCTTCTCTTAGGAAATTTGGAAAATACAAAAATAAAATAATTGGTGGTAGACATCACCACAGTTAACATTTTCTTGCATTTCCTCTCAGTGCCCCAACCCTGGCCACCATTATCTGAGAGTTGAGTATGCGGAATAAGTGCTTAGCAGGGTAGTTCTTAGATATTGTGGTAATGGGGTTGATCACTGTGGACTGGACGTATTTGGGGAAAGCATTCAGGATGTTTCTTTGTAGTTGGGAGAAAAGTTGAAGGCATAAATAAGTGACTTTGATTGGATTAGAGCAGGGGGTTAGATATGCTTATGTTTTAGGATGTATAAAAGGCTACATTGTTCTCCAGTCCACATATGTGTATTTGTATCTATCTCCATATTATGTGCATATATATTTACACACATACACATATATTTTTGAATCTTTCTCCGCCCCACCTTCTCTCCTTCACAGGGAATTGAACCCAGGGCCTGAGGCTTGTTAGGTAAACACTGCCTCTGAGCCCTCATCTCTCTTAAAATATCCCATTAAAAAAGTCATGCCGAACAGAGTTATTTAAAAGATTCTCAGAAGGCATCTTACCCCTTCGTGCTTTCCCTTTCTTCTTGGTGAGGTCCTTCTGGGTCCTGCTTGTGAGGCCAATGCTAGCGGTCCTAAGATAGATGGTAAGAAATTGTGGTGCCTCTCACCCTCTGTGTTATAAGATGGTTCAGACTTTTCAGCAAAGCAATGTGCTGAGATGAAAAGTGAGGTGCCCTGAAGTCATGGGGCACATGGATAGCAGAGGTGGTAGCGCCTGTGTCCATGGCACAGTTTTCAAATGTCACAACTTCTGAGCTTATTCAGTAAGCTTTGGACTTTAGAAAATCAGTGTTTTTTGATTTGGTATCCTCCTCCTCCCCGCTCTCCTGCAGCACAGAAAAGTTATACTTAAGATATCAGATTTTTTTTTTTAACTCTGGGCTTTAAATTTCTCAAACATATGCTATATGACCTCCCCCCTTTCTTGTACCTGCGATCAAACTTGGGACCTTGCTTTTGCAAGGTAGGCAGCAGCACCACTGAGCGAAATCCCTGGCCCTCCCTTGGGTTTTTCTTAACAAAAAGTAGTATAACGCTGTTAGTGCTCCAGGAATATCCTCCCACAATATTCAAATGAGGTTTCAAGAATCAGTTATGTTCATTAGTTTGGTTTATTCCAGGGTCAATTACTCTTGACATAAAAACCTTTTAATGTCTGTCTTTATACTCCTATATCCATTTATCCATCCATCCACCCATCCATCTGTCCGTCCATCCATCAGTATCACCCATCCATCCATCCACGTTTTTTTTTTTTTTTCAATGCTGAGGATTGAACCCAGGGCCTCATGCAGACCAGGCAAATGCTGAGTCATTTTCCTAGCACATCCCCTCCCATTTAAAAAATTTTAATAGGAAATACATATGAAGACAAACTATGAAGAAGATACAAAGATACCAAAGGGTATAGACAAAGTACTTCTGTCTTATAAATTTGTTTCTCAGTATCTAGACCTAGCAACTTTTGTATTCAAAGACCCATTTCTTTCTGACCCCTCTCCCTCACTACCCTGCCATAAGCAGCCAAAGTTACGTGCACAATTAAATCACCGGGCAAAGAATCACCTCCAGTCATCTTATACACAGTTCTTGGATATCAGGTTTCTAGGGACAATTTTCAAGGACTCAGTTTCTTCTGTGTAAGTATAAAAGTTATATCAGAAGTCCACAGATAATGGCCAACACTGTTGATATATAGATCCCAATTTTTAAAATTATATGTTAAACTTGTAATAAAATTAGCACGCTATTGTTAAAAAATCAAAACAGGGGCCAGGGATTTAGCTCAGTGGCCCTGTGCCTGCCTTGCAAGCACAAGATCCTGAGTTCAATCCCCGGTATGGGGGTGTGGGGAGAACACCAAAACAGTACAATGTGTAAGAAAAATGAATCTATCTTTATTCCAAGCCCCATGTCTACTTCTCTCTCTTAGAAATAGCCAACATTATACATTTTTGTGTTTCTTTCCAGAAATCCTCCATATAATACACATATACACTTTTAGATTATCCTTTTAAGGGAACAAAAGGAAATGCAGTATTTAGAAAATCTTTGTTGTATGAGGATAACTGGATTGAAAAAGTTCACTGAAAATGAATCTATTTAAAATTAGGGCCACTGTTCCCAACAAGTAATTATAATAATTACAGCATTGATAATTATAATAGTAGTTTAATCTCTGACAAGGATCAAGGCACACACAGCCTCATTTTATTCTTTTTTGTAGTAAAATACATATAAAATAAAATTCACCATTATAATCAATCTGAAGTACACAATTGACCAGCGTTAACTACATTCACAATATTACTCATCTATTTCCACTCTCTGTAACAGAACTTTTCTTCACTCCAAAAAGAAATCCCTTAACAATCATTCCCTAGTTCCTTTTTTCCCTAACCCCTGATTACTAATAATTGGTTTTCTATCTCCATAGATTGTCTATTACGGATATTTTATTAGGTGAAATCATGAAATATGTGACCATTTTTGATCTGGCTTCTTTACTTACTATGTTTTCAGACTCATCCAAGTTGTAGCATGTATCAGTACCTCACTGACTTTTGTGGATAAATAATATCTCACTATACACATGCACATAGGTATATATCACATTTTTTATGGTCCTGGGTATTAAATCCAGGACCTCTGCACTGAGCTACATGCCCAGCCACTCTTACTTTTTTATTTAGAGACAACATCTTGCTACATCACTAACTCGCCAAGGCTGAGCTCAAACTTGTAATTCTCCTGCCTCAGCTGCTCAGAGTACTGGATTACAGGCATGCACCACCCTACCTGTTTTTTTAAAAAGCACATTTTTGCTCTCTGTTCATTAGTTGATAAACATTTGGGTTATTTCCCCTTTTGGCATTTGAATAGTGCCCCTATGAAAATTTGTGTACAACTTTTTCTTTGAAGACCTGCTTTCAGTTATTTTGGGTATATATCTATAAATAGAATTGCTGCATCATATAATGATTCTGTGCTTAGCTTTCTTTTTCTTTTCTTTTTTTTGATACCAAGGATTGAACTTAGGACCTTGTGTTTGCCAGGCAGGCACGGCACCACTGAGCTAAATCTCTGGCCCTGTATCTAGCTTTCTGGGAAACCACCTCATTCTCTGAATCTCTCTAAGTGATTGTCTCTTTGGTCTGTACCAAGATATGACACTGTCTTTCAAATTATTGATTAATTAATTAGTTAACTTTTGGATTAATCAATATCCAGATTAATTAATGGATATCTGGTTAATAGTTAAGTCTAATATTTTATTAGCACTATGATGTTACATTAGGTATTATACACGTTGAACTTCAAATGTAGAAACCATACAGTATTGGTTTAATATATGTGTTTACTTTATGTTAGTCAATGCACTGGGCTGTCAGAGGTAAGAAAGACCTGATGCTGGAAGAATCTGACCAGACCCATACCAAGAAGATTAAAAATGAGGAATGGAATGAGCAAAGAGAAATAAAGGAAGAGGATCTAGGTCCAGCCACAGAGAAAATGAAGCAAAAGGAATCTGAGTCCCTTGAGAAGTCTGCCTTTCCACAAAATCCAGATTCTCTGAGTAAGTCATGTCACACAGCTTTGAACAGAGAAGGTCTGAAACTAAAGTCCTTAT